GGCGCCTCGTGCTAGCAGTGTCCAAGCGTTTTGTTTTTTCCCCCCCTTTTCATTCCGCGCCCCCCCTGCAATGGCTCTGCACCCCCCCTAGGGGGCGGGCCCCACACTTTGGGAAGGTCTGAGTTAGATCATAAAACTGTCAATGAATTGGCGCCACAGTGGTGGGAAAGAGGTGTAAGAAAATACTTTCTGGATGTTGTGAACTGTTTGTTGCCACCAAACACGCTAAATAATCTGATCACTTGTAATTTTGTGACATGAAGTTCGATCCATTTTCATATGTGACATTTTTATTTTCTCTCCTCAGCTCTGCTGCTTCTGTACGACGTCACCAACAAAGCATCCTTCGATAACATCAGGGTAAGATCAGACTCACCTGTTTGTCAGTTGCACCTCATTTCTATTCAGGTTCTGAAAGAATGTTGTTTCATTTATGCTACGCAAAGTGGACTGTGGATCATCTCGTTCACAAGCAAGGATGATATGGGCAATGTCTCTCGTCTCTCTTGTACCTGGGATCGGCTCCAGCTTGGAGAAATGGAGATGTTAGAGCTAAGTTATTAACAATATGGGTCACATATAGCCCACTTTGAGCTCAAGTGGGCCAGACCAGTGAAACTCCCCTTTATGTTAGTGTAACAAAGTGTAACTACACATTTAATGAGAGCTGTCTGGATAAAAGAAAAAGACGTATAGTTTCAGCAGTAGGTCTCAGTTTTTTCTACAAGATAAAGTAATGCTGCTGGAAGAAGTCTGTCAGCATAATTAATATCTGGCTTAAATTGTAAGAAATAAATGTGTAAAATTAAAGAAATCATTCTGTTAGCTCGTTGCCCAGACTCCCAAAAATAGAAAGTTTTTGGTAATTCATGAAAAATGTCCTCATTTTTTTTTGCAGGAAAGGTTGTTTCTTTTTTCTTTTTTCATTTCTTTTTTTTATTTCTATGCATATTTCTAGATATTTCTACAGTAAGTACAAAAATGCAAAGGTTTCTGTTTAATTGCTTATTTATTAATTAGTAAAATTGGTGTGATTGACTGTGGGCAATGTCTAAAACATTAAGAAAGGTTGTAAAACACAGTTAAAATTGATGCCTTCTTTCACATTTTTCAAAGCATCAAGTGGGCCGGACTGGACTCTTTGGTTGTCCTAATTCTGCCCCCCATTCCTTATATTTGGCACCCCTGTGTTACATTTGGGTTGGTCTAGCACTCAGATGTATGTGTAAACATGTGTGAATTCCACAGGATGCTTAGCTGGATTATCTCTGCCTTGCAAACGTAAGCTCCTCCTGAGGTAGGGACATCTGCTCATTTTTAATGACATGCTGCCTTCGTGACCAGCCGGCGGGTACGAGACATGATAAATAGCTTTATTATATGTTACTGAGACTTAGGAGGTCGTTTCATTATTCATTGACTTTCCTCCCACGTACTGGCAGTCGGCTGTATCTCTGAACATCAGCTCCTGTCTACTTCTAAATTGTTTCTTTTCATGTAAACAAAGCAGAAAAGCACAAAGATATCATTTGTGTCTGATAAAAAAAATTGCATTTGATTACATTAGTTTTCAAAGCCATCTTCAAAGTTACGCCATAAAATCTCCTATACTCGCTCATGCTCAGACCGGGGATCAGATGAAGGCGACGGTGATGATGATAGGAGAGCTGAGGATGACCAATGTAACACCAAATTAAGGGAGGGGACAAAGTTGAAGAGCATCGGGGTGCAGATTACAAAACTTTTATCTCTCCCTTTGAAGTGGCAGCCTTTCTGTCACCCAAACTCAGTTCCCACTGTGATTTTCCAGCCATTTCTTGCCCCACTTGGTGCCACTCCCCACCGTGCCTTGTAGGTGCATGATTTTCCTTTGATTAACACGGGGCAGAGTTAAAAGCAGGAGATGGCCATTTAAAAAAGCGAGTGTCTTTCACATCAAGCAGAGGAATGGTTCCACAGCCATCTGGCAGGTCTGATCCACTTACACCTGATGTGTGTGTGTGTGGGGCTACCGGTGTGACCTCAGCATGCACTTGCACTCATACAGGTGTGTGTCTGTGTAGGTGTGCAAATGGCTTTATTAGCAGCGGAAGAAATAGGAGTCCCTAGAGAGAAAAAGACACAGAGCTTAGCTTCTGTCCAAACAGCCGCTTACCGTCATTATGCCTGCATTTAAATAGCTCTCGGTTGGGGATATGAAACCTTGGACACTAACAACAAATGCCCAAACCAACCATGGATAACCCTAACTTTCAGGGGTCCGCTGTCTCGTCTGTCGCATTTTAGCCAGCTGGTTGTTACTGGTCTCAGCCATCAGCTTCAATTTGCTGCATCAGGTTTTCGAGCTAAATTTTGGGGCTACATCACCCCGATGTCACCCTGACATGTACTGTTAGGAAAGCGGTCAGCCTGTTCTTTTGTGGTTTATCAGCCTTACTCTGGAATCATTTGATGATTAGATAACAGTAACAAGTGGGAGCTCTAAATGCAGCAGAAAAATTGGTTTGGAAGTAATGTTCCTGTGTTATCAGTAATAGACGAATTGACTCCAAATTATACCAGTAAATTCTAAAGGAAAATGTCAGGACATCTCTGGTACAAGAGATGTCCTGACATCTAGGCTCCATCGTACCATTTATCTGTGAAATGAATCTCAAGGGGAAGTGGGTGTTGTATCTATGCAAAGTTCACAAGACCCTCTGTTGAAGAAGAACAAAGGTTTGGACTGTCAAATGTCAAAATGTCAAAGATTCTTCCAACAGAAATCTTGTCGATTGTCCATGAACGATGCAGAATTTAATGTTCTGAGCACTAGATTAGGATAAGATTCACAGGCTATACAGGCCTGAGTTAGCATAAAAATGTTAAATGTTACAGTTCATGACAGTAAAAAGACAAAAAGACGCGTATGGCTTTTTAAAAAATGTTCCCAGGGGAAAGGCTCTTCTCTCTGAAAAGAAGATGACATCATGGGTTAGACTTGCAAAGATGCATCTGAACAAACCACAAGACTTCTCGAACTATGTCGTTTAAGAAGATAAGACCAAAGTGATGTTTGATCATAATGCGTACACGTTTGCTGTAAACCAATCACAGCATATCGATACAAACACCTCATATCAACTATCAAGCACGGCGGTGGAGGGATGATGATTTGGGCTTTTTTTGCAACCACAGCACCTGCCTGGGTACATTGCTGTCATTAAGTTGACCATGTATGTTTTATTTATTGTACGCAACAACACAATCTACAGCAAATCTACAACAAAAGGGCTTAAAAAGAAAAGATTAAAGATGTTTCAATTGCCTGGCCAAAGATTTTACATCGATTGAAATACTGTGGTTGAAACCTTCAGAGAGCTGCTCATAAACAAATACCCCCAAACATCAGTGAACCAAAGTTATGCTGTAAAGAAGAGTGCGCCAAAATCTCTCCCAAACGATGTGCAAAGCTGATAAAGTTTTAAAGAAAGTATCACTC